TTGTTATTCTGTTCAGGTGTTGTTTGCTGGGAGAGTGAATGTGGTTATCTTTTTGGGGGTTTTTGCAATTTTCCTTTCTCTGTTTGCAAAATTGTTGTTATGGGGAGGGGGGTTTGCAGAATGTTTGATTTTTAGTGTTCGTCAGATGCTGCCTATTACAGCTACTGTAAAAGATAAATTATAATGTGAGGTTTTGAATGATTTGCAGATATTTTTTAAGGAGAAAATCATGCGCACATCCAAATGAGGGACAGCTTCGTTAATTTTGAAAATATAGATTGTCTGGAGTATTTTTTTGGCAAATTATCTGACTTTTTCAGACAACAAAAAATGTGAAAATATTTTCTTAACAGGGTTATGAAAGCTTTTTTAGGAATTAAATAAAAAATATATGTTAAATACTTGCGGTTAAATAGTTGAAAATATTGTACTTAAAAAATAGGTTTAAAATATGTTTTAAGAAATTCATGTATCTTAGATCCATTAAAATATGTTTAAAATAATTTTTGGAGGTCTTAGAACCTTGGAAATATTTTTTAAATAATTTTTGTAGGTCTTAGAAACATAGATTTTTTTAATAATTTTTGGAGATCTTTAAAATATTTTTAATTCTCGCCAGTCTAAGATCCTTAAAAATATTTTTTAAAAAAATCCACACCTGCCTAAAGTCCTTAAAAATATGTTTGTAAAAATCGACCCCTGTCTAAGGCCCTCAATTTTTATATACCCTTCACCACACTGTGGCACAGGGTATTATGTCTTTGTGCATATGTTTATAACAGGCAAAAGGAAACGAGACAGATTCATGGTTCCTTTTGAGAATATGCATAGAATCACTTTCTGGGTCGATTTATGCATGTCCGTCCGTCCGTCTGTCCATGTTAAATTGTAACCAAAGTACAGGTCGCATTTATGATCCGAATTATATATATATATATATATATATATATATTCGTCCGATTTAAGATAAATGGTATACCAAACTCCCGAGAATTGTCGAATTGAGACAATATTTTGATCTGAACTAGGTCCAGTTTAATGTCTGTGAAGTTTCGTTAAAATCGGTTCAGATTTAGATATAGCTCCAAAATATAGTTTCGTCCGATTTTATGTAAATAGTACACCAAACGTCCAATATTTGTCCGATCGGGACAAAATTTTGCACAACTTCTGTGGAAATCAGTTCAAATTTAGATATAGCTCCCATATAGATAAACGATTTGCTCCAAATTTGGCATAGCGTACTGAAATGAGTCTAGAAATATGTTTGTTAAATTTCGTAAAAATCGGTTCAGATTTAGATAAAGCTTTCATATATATTTTCGTCCGGTTTTATGTAAATGGTGCACCATAGTCCCTATATATCCTTCGATTTGCACGAAACTTGGATTTATAAGTAAATGAAGGACACAAAATGTGACAAGTTTCGATGAAATCGGTTTAGGTTTCGATATTTTGCTTTCAATTTATTTTAATAATTTTGTCCCATTGTAAGAAACAACTCTATATCTGACCAATATTTAGTATTCCATCTGTTGAATATACCCAAAGTGGTGAAGGGTATCATATAGTCGGCCCCGTCCGACTTTACTACTTTCCTTACTGGTTTTAAATAAATTTTGGAGGTCTTAGAACCATGGAAACATTTTTTAAATAAATTTTGGAGGTCTTAGAACATTGGTAATTTTTTTTAAACACTTTTTGGAGAATCTTCTTAGAACCTTGGAAACATTTTTTAAATATTTTTTGGAGGTCTTGGAACCTTGGAAACATTTTTTAAATATTTTTTGGAGGTCTTAGATCCTTGGAAATATTTTTTCTAAAGTCCTTAAAAATATTTTTTTAAAAAACCCACGACGGTCTATGATCTTTAAAAATATTTTTTTTAATCCAAGCCTGTCTAAGGTCCTTAAAAATATTTTTTTATAAATCCACGCCTGCCTAAGGTCCTTAAAATTATTTTTTTTTAAATCCACGCCTGCCTAAGGTCCTTAAAATTATTTTTTTTTAAATCCACGCCTGTCTAAGGTCCCTCAAAATTTGTATAAAAAATCTAGATCCTCAAAAATAGTTAAAAAATCCAACAGGTGTGGATTTTTTAAATATATTTAAAAATATTTTTTAAGAAATCCACGCTTGTTCTAAGCCTTCAAAATATTTTTCGTAAAATCACCACTTATTACAGGGCTTTAGATTATTAAAAAAAATCGACGCCTATCCTAAGTCTTATATTTTCTTATAGTATTTTTTTTAATTGCACACCTATTATAGGTCCTTAAAATTATCATTTAAAGAAAATTACTGATAATTTCTTTCCTTGCCAAAAAAAATATTCATTCGAAAATCCTAGCTATTTTGGCAATTTCACCATTAAAACCCAACCATTAAATAAATTCCCCTTTCCTTTATTTATTTTTTCTATCTACTGTGTGTTCATCTATGTCTAGATAATATTAACGAAATCCTGCACAACTTTGTCGCAGATACATTTAACGAAGCTAATCTGTTAGATACATTTTTAATTTGTCAAATATCTAAATTTTTCTTCTTCTGTTTAAAAAAATGCCCTTTACAAGAGTATTTTCTGTTTTGCTTGATTTTCTAATGCATTGAATAATAACAATAATCATTCTCCCCGTAACAGAGAGTGAGATTTTCCCCATTACATTTATGGGTCTCTCTCTCTCTGTTCACATCTCCATGCGCCTCACTGGGCAAAGAGTTGTTGGGGTAATGCATGTTTTGTTTTGTTGCAGTGGCACAATGCGCCTCTGTTTAACCGGAGACTGTGTTTAGTAAACAGAGTCTGTTTGGCGCTCTCTCCATCGTTTGTTTCGTTGGGCCTCTCTCGGCCTGTGCTCTGTGTGTGTGTGTGCTTCGTTTGTTTGCTCGTTGTGCGTTTGTTTGGTTTTGGTTTTTTCTGTTTTCTTGTCCAACAACTGTGAGGGAGTTTTGTTTTGTGCTGTGTTATGTTATGTGAGTGCGTGTGTGTGTGCGTATGTGTGTGCCTGCTTGGCTGTGTTTCTTGTTTTCTGGTTCCTGTTTTGGTGTTGTTGTTGTTCTCGGTGTGTTGTGTGTGCGACAGTGGAAGTTCGTAAACCTCTTTTGCTTCGGTTTGCGCAGGCTTCGTTTTGTCGTTGAAAACAAAAAAACCTGATTAATGTTTTCATGCCACCACAACAGAGAGAGCGAGAGTGAGTCTGTGTCTCAAACAGAATGTGAGCGCCCGTTACATTGTTGTTTGTGTGTGCCTGCCTGAGAGCGCGAGAGTCGTTGTTGTGCAGTGTGAGTGTCGTCTCTGCCAGTGAGTTTCGTATACGCACCACAGTCAAGATACACAAAAATTCTTTCATGCATTCAGTCTTAAAACGTCGCTCGCTGTTTGTAAATCGTTTGTCACAACCGCAGGAAAAATATAAACGGCGGCCGTTCACGCACATACACACACATACATGCATATATATAACATAATAGTAATCATAATAAAAAAATACATAGATTTTTCTTTGATTTTGGTGTTGTTTTCGGTCGAAAGAAGAAAAAATATAATTTAAATGAAACACATTTACGAATAATTACACGAAACAAAATAAATTTTCTTTTTTCTGTTTTAAATGGAGATGACCACCTAACGAGTAGAAATAACACCAACAACAACAAAACAAATTCTATTCATGCAATCTAATGAGAAGAAGATTCCCAAATAAAGTGAGAAAATAAGGAAGAAAAAAGTATGGAAATGGAAATTTAATGAAAACAATACGCGCGTGTAAAATAAAAGAAAAATTGTAAGCAAAAAAACAAATTCCAAAGGAATTTAAAGAAAGAATAAAATAATTTGCAAAAAAAATGTCAAGTGTTGTGAAAATATTTTCAAAGTGAAAAAAATTGCAACTGGAAAAAAAGAAAAAATATTTTTATTTAAATTTTGTTAAGTTTGAAAGTGCTTTAAAGTGGAAACAAGAAAAAATCGCTGTGCAAAAATTTAAAAAAGTGGTGGCACTTGACCTGCCTTAGTCGTCATCGTCATTCTGCTCCTCCTCTTTTTATGTGGTGCGATGCCAAAACAACAACAAGAAAAACGGATTAAAATTGCTTTGCCTTTTTGTTGATAAAAGGGAGCCCCACACAACCAAAGGATATTTTTGCTACGCATCGTTGTGCAGAGGACCCCAAAAGGCATTATAAAATAAATTTTGAGCATTTTATTGCTTGACAGCCCAAGGGGCAAGAAGAGGACCCATACGAAAAAAACAACAACAACAAAAACTTATTGGAAATAAAAATCCGACAAAGAAAAAAACAGGACGGAGGAAAAAATCATCCTGTGGAACTACCTCTTAAATAAAAAACAACTACAAATAAAAAATATAAGGGAACCTCTACATAAAAAAATCCCAATTTTTCAACTAAAATTACAAAAACAAAAATTTAATTAAAAAAGTCAAGCAATGCAACAAACGTGAAGAAAGTTTAAAAAAAATCTCAATCCAAAGCAACTCCCCTTTCCCCTTCAAACAAAAAAAAATATTTTTTTCTAAAAATTTGACAAAAAACCAAAAACCAATATTGAGGCCCCCAAAACCCCCTCTCTCTCTAAAAAACTATTCCCTCTTCGTCTCTCTATCTATCTCTAAATTTTTTCCGTGTCTGAACACAATTAGCGGGGTTGTCAAACACCGCTAATTCCCCAAAATCATCAAAATTAAGTTCTCAAAGCAAAATCATCATCATCATCCGGCATACCGTCACGCTGAGAATATCTACGACGGTGGCACCGATACCGACGACGACGAATGTCCACTAGAATCGTCCACCATGAATCCCTATGAATATGAAACCACCTTGGATTGTCGCGATGATAATCGGGCGATAGGTGGCGGCGGTGGTGGTGGCAGTAGTGGGAGTGGTGGAGGTGGCGGTTCTTTGCACACCGGCTCCATGACCCCACGCCATCCCCACATGTCATCGGCAACACAATCTTCTGCATCACAACAAAATACCCTACTGCATCAAAATCAACAAAATTTCCAATTGCAACAACAGCAACAACAACAACAGACAGCGGCGGATTCACAATCATCGTATTATGATTATGAATATCAGCATTTGCCACATCGGGCAACTGAAACGCAACCGCCATCATCGACATCAACAGCAGCCCGCACACATGGTAGACAAGGTGAGTTCATTTGCTTTTTTGTGTGACAAATTAGATAATTAATAAAAAAAATTAAAGGAAGAAATACAAACAAATTACGGAAAATCGATTCTCAGGGAGTTATAAAAATTTGGGAAGAAAAAATATTGAAAAATTAACAAAAAATTAATAATTATAGATATCAGGTTGTGATAGGCCCTTGAAGAAATATTAAAAAAAAATAGATACGTGTTAGACCTTTTGAAAATTATTTTTAAAAATAAGAGGTCCTCGATAAAATATTGCCAAAAAATATATTTTCCAGGAAAATCGGATTTCAATACAACTTGAAAAAACGATTTGTAAAAAATCCGATTTTTTTAACTTTTTTAATATTTTTAAAAAATTCGGGAACGTGTTTGGGCATTGAAAACATGTATTTAAAAAATTGTTTGTAAAAAATCCCAATTTTTTACAATATAAAAATCAAAATTTAAAAAAATCGGTAACATTGTTGGACCTGAAAAAAAATATTTTTAAAAATTCCTCACTTGCAAAAAAAATATTCTGCATGAAAATCGAATTGTGATACAACTTAAAAAAAAATAATTTGTAAAAAATCCGAATAATTTTTACGCTTTAAATATTTTTCAAAAACCTGAAATTAAAAAAAAAATCGGGAATGTGTTTGGACCATTATGAAATATTTTTAAAAATTCTTCTCTTGTTTTAGGAGATTTAAAAACAATATTTTTTGCCGAAAAATAATTTGTAAAAATCGGAGTTTTTACAGCCCATAAAAATATTTATAACAAATCTGGTCTTTTTAAAGGTTTGGACAACATCTGTTCAAAGTTCGGAATTGTTATGAACCTGGGAAAGACCCAAAAAAATAAATTACTTAAAATTAGAAAAAAGATTAAAAAAAAATATATCGGAAGTTAATGGCCTTTGAGCATTTTTTAAAATATAAATATGGAGAAAAATTTAGAAATTTAAAATTGTAATAGGCAATGAAAAAAATTATTTCAAAAAAATATATTTTTTTTAAATCAAAATGTCCGAAAATATTTATAAAAAATTTTAAATTATTTCTCAAAAAATCAAAATATAGAAAAAAGAATGGAAATTAATTTGTTAAAAATCTGCACAGTGTTAGAGCCATGAAAAGTAGCTTTTTTAAATATTTCGGATTGAATTCAATGGATAATGGATTCAGTGGATGGAAAAAAATATTTAAACAGAAGCCCTAAAAATATGTGTTTTTTTTAATATTTCAGAAAAAATATTTTTTTTAGTTCGAAATTTGAGACCTTCATACATATTAAACAAGTAGTAGACCTTGAAAAAATATTTTTTGAATTCAAACTTTTAGAAAATGTTTTTAAAAAGTTTTTAATTATTTTTCAAAGTCATGATATTGGGAAAAATAGGGGAAATTAATTTGTTAAAAATCTGCACTGTGTTAGAGCCATGAAAATTAGCATTTTAAATATTTCGGATTGAATTCAATGGTTCTTGACAAAATACTTCAAAAGCGGGATTTTTTATAGCCCTAGAAAATCTACAATCTGAAATTATTTTAGGGCTTAAAAAAATATATTTTAAAATACTTCAGGGAAAACTATTTTTTTTTTTTTTTTTGTAATTCGCAATTCGAGACCTTGAAATAAATCCATGCATGTGTTCGATCATCGAAAAAAAATATTTAAAAAAAAAAATCTCGGGTTTTCATAGATATTAAAAAAAAAAAAATATTATTAAAATATTCAGCATAGTAATAGACCTTATAAAAATAGACAATAAATATTTAATAGTCAAGGCAGGATTTTGGAAAAATATATTTTAAAAATTGAGTTAGACCTTGAAAAAAAAATATATTAAAAAATATATGCTTTTGTTCGGCCATCAAAAAAAAATATTTTTACAAAATTAAAATTTTTGAAAAGTCTTTAAATTTGGTTTTTCAGTCTGAGCTTTGGTTTGTTTTTAAAAAAATATTCATATCAATGAAAATTCTAGCCTTGATTCGTTTCTGAAATAATATTTCTTACAAATCGAAGCCATGGCTTGCTTTTGAAAAATTATTTTTGTAAAAAAATCCTATTTGCCTTTGATTTGTTTTTTTATTTTTTAATTTCCCGACATGCTTAGCACTTGAAAAAATATTTTTTATTTATTTAAAATTCATGCAATGATTTGTCTTTGGGTCTTTTAAATATTTGTTTTAGACCTCAGAAAATAGTTTTTTTTTTTAATATATTATTTTTTTTAATGTAAGCTTGTCATAGGTTCTTAAAATAATATTTGCTGACTTTGGGTCTTCAAATTATTCACATATATGTCTGTCCTATTCATAAAAAAAGTATTTTATTATGAATCAATGCTTGTCTTAGGTCTTCAAAAATTATTTTTTTTTTTTAATTTTTTTTATTTGTCTTTTGAAAACAAATATTTTCCAAGTGTTCCCCATTTTGGCCTAATTTGTTGTTGTTGCGTGATTTTAAATCTCGGTGTCTGGTTGTAGGGAGAATTGCTATCCAAAAAATGACTACAACAAATAATTATAATTATTTTTTTTTCAAAATTTACCAAAACAATTATGAGCTAATACAACAACCACATCCGTTTTAGTTTTTACTTTCCATATTTTATTTTTCGCTTTGTTTTTTTTTTTTTTTTTTGAAAATTAAAAACAATTATGATTATTTATTAGTCGTGTTGTTGTTGTTAGGTGGGTTTCTGGGAGTACTTTGTATTATATTTAGCTAATTTTCTATAACAATATAAAATACTCATAGTATTGTTGTGATACACACATTTTAGTATTATTTTTAATTCAAATGACTATTTGTATGACGCAATTTTCAAACAAAAATATAATTAAATTCCACACCAAAAAAATGAAATATCTTGACAATGAATATAAACACGTATGGAAAAAATGGATTAGAAGCAATTAAAAATCAAAATCAAAAATCAAAATTCAATTTGAAAAATACAAAAATTTTAATTTTCAAAATTCTCTGAAATATCATTGTTCTTCCATATTTTATTTTTATTTTTTTCCTTGCCTACTTAACTCTTCCAAGTGCCATTATTTATGACATTTTCAGTGGGACCAAGTAAATTAGGCATAGCATGGATAGGGAGAAGAGAAACAATTCCTTGCAGGATCTTAAAAACGAATATAAACAAAACAAAAAAAAAGAAACACAAAATATCTAGCAAAGAGGATCATATTAAAGATGATGAATGAGAGGTACTTCCCTACTAGGGGATCACTTAGGTTTTTTTTTGCCCTTTCATGTAAACATAAAATTTATTTAGGATTGTCCTAAGAAGGGTGGTTGTAGGGACTCTTGTTAATAATAACAACAATAACAATAATAAACGACATGCATGAACTATTGAAGATGAAGTACAAAGAAATAATTTTACACAAAATTATATTTTGAAAGAAAAGGGATTGATCCGGAACAGGGGTTGTGTTGTCTGGCTTCTACGTGTTTCCTTGTACTTGTTGTGAGCAAATTGATCTGGAGCGTGTAAATGTCGTGTAATATTTATTGTTGCCCTTTTTTTAATTTTCATAATTCCCACAGACAATTTTATCTCAACAACTTCCTTGAGGATGTTTCATATTTTTTTTGAAAAGTCTCCGAAAATTCAAAAAATAAAAAATAATAAAATTCACAAAACTGAAATTAATGAAATTCCGTGAATCCGAAAATTGCAAAAGCTAAAAAATCCAAAATGCATATTGGCTAAGTGTGTGTGTGTGTGTGTTTTTTTTTTTTTTTTGTGAGGCCAGTAAAATCTGAAGAAATTGTATAAATATAACATTTACCATATATTCTTAAAGAGGCTCCAAATGGCTGGGATTATATATCGAAGCCAAAATCGGAGGAGTTTAAAAAAAAATTAGAATACATAAAATTTTATTCAAAATGGTGTGGGTTCCTTTTATTCTAGTGAAATAGAAAAATTCCAGAAATAAAAAATACTAAAAAAAATCACAAAAGAAAATTTTTTTTCAACTTGTCCTGGAGTCCTGGACACCTCGACTCTAATAAGTTTAGCGTACACTGAAGGCTTTAGATCATTACCCATGCTTGCCCAAGTTGATGGACTAGATCATAAGCTGGAAGTAGTTCCTAAACAAGGAGTAGCCAACATTATTGTAAATCTTGTTGTTTCGAGTTTCCACAAACTCGATTTTTTCTTCTTTTTTTTTTAATTTCCTTGTGCCAATTTTTTATAAATCAGCAGATATGTCCCAAAAAAATTCTGCTTAACAAAAAAAAAATCTCTATAAAGTTGAAATTCATTGCATTGCCTCATTATAAAAAGGTTCGGCTTTATTCTGCCATTTCAATATCCTTTCACAAAAAACGAATATCCTGTCAATATTTGTTTCCATAAACTCCTTTCGTACTTGTTTTCTCCTCATTTTTATTTTTTGGTCCTTATATTTCGTTGCTTATTTTTATTCTTTATTTTATTTTAATACTCAGTTCTTTACAATTTTCATGTCAATATTTAACCTGAAATTCAGATTCGGAGAGAATTCTTTTTATTTTGTCAGTTATTTCTTTATTATTATTTTTTATATATATATGTATATATATATTAAACTTTGTTTTGCCTTCTCAGTGATTCTTATTTTTGGCTTCCTTCTTGTTTTTTCCTTTCTTCCTTCATATTCATTTTGAACTACTTTATTTTTTTATTTTATATTTTCTCAGTGATTTACATAATGCCATACCCATCATATTGAAATGTCACCTCCCCTCGTGATTTTTGCAGTTCTATTTATTATTTGCGTAGTTTCGTTTTCTTGTTCTTCTTCCACTTCTTTATGGCAAATCAAATCTGCCATTCCCTCAACAGAAGAAGGAGTTTTTGTGAGGATATTTTTGTGTGTGAGATATTTCATGTTAGGATATTTTTTCGCAAGGATATCGGTATTTTGCATATTTGTTTTTTCTTCCTTTTTGCTTTTGAGCCGCATCAAAAAAAAAAAAAAAAATATATCCGAA